GGCACGCACACACACACACACACACACACACACACACACACACACGCCTGGCATAAGCCTCAAGCCTCTTGGTTTGGGACTCAAACCACGGTTGACCATGTGGGAATCCAGTGTCTTGACCATCATGCTGCCTGCTGGCCCCCCAATTCATATTACTAATATTTACAGTTTTTATATTAATGGTCTCTCTGTTCTTTTATCAAAAGTTATATTGCAAGATTCCTATAAACCCAAGGCATTTTACCTGTATTTTCTAGTCAATATTTATTAAACCAGCTTTGGAGGTATAATTTAAAATATTTAAAGAGATGAAAAAAATTGTGACTTTAAAATATGAAACAACCTCTTCAGCTAAGTTAGTAACACATAATGATGATAAAACAAAAGAACCCAACATAATGAGTGCACGGTTTGTGCCAACTTAGAACATGATTCTAATTTTAAACAATTCTTGATTATTTGTATTCACTCACACTGAGCTACAACACTCATTTTACACTCATTTTCCAGACATGTCTGTTTCATGGTGCAACCTTTGAACTAATATGAAACAACATGAGAGATAAGTACATTTCTAAAAACTGGAGATGCAAATGTCTCCTATCCTAAAAACAATGTTCATTTTCATTCATAATAAAGTTTAAAAATGTACCAAACTAAGGTACAATATTTTAATCATCACATTAGCAAAATCTAAAAATGGTAAAACTCACTAACTCTCAAGCAAATAAGTATGACATCTATGAAGGGCAATGACAATACTGCACCTATTACATAATAAATATGCAAAATTCTTTACTCAGAGTTACACCAATAGAGATTTAATTTACAATTCATGTACAAGAATTGACATATACAACATTTTTCACTACAACATTATTTGAGTACAAAATAGAAAAAAACTAGACAGTCATCAAAAGGAAATTGGTAAATAAATTCCAGTAACATGTGATGTGCTAGAATTCTCAAAACAAAATATTATACAGATGCAAATAAATGGTGATCCTCTTTGTGGGTTGGATTAGAATGATCCCAAAGATACATATGTATATTAAAAATCAAGCAGAGATGGGACCAGTAGGTAGTATGGTGGTTAAGGCATTGGACTCCCACATGGCTGACCACTGTTCAAGTCCCGGACTTAGTGGCTTGAAAATCACAATGCCCACACATGAGTGCGTCCCCCAAATCTCAGGAGGAGAAGGGATTGTGGCATGGCTTTCCACCCCTAGTGAGTGATTTCTCACTTTACCTCTCACCATCTATCTCTCTCCAGAGAGCGCACAGAGAACAAAAACCTTAAAAAAAAAAAAAAGTCAGATAATAGTGCCCCGTTTTCACTGGGAAAATGCATATAATATCTTGTTTGTAGATAAATATTTTCCTAAAAGGAAATGTAGTGAACTGAAAATAGGTTTTGTCTTTGGGGAGGGAAACCAGAATGATTGAAATATGGTCAGTCACTTAACAACAGCAATGCATTCTGAGAAACATGTTAGGTAATTTTATTGTTGTACAAACAAAGCAGAGTGTACTTACCTAACATAGCACAGCCTACTCCATGTGTGGGCTATGTGGTATAGCCTATTGCTGCTAGACTACAACCTTGTACAAGATGCTGTGTACTGAATACTGCAGGCAAATGTGACACAATCATAAGTATTTATATATCCAAACATATTTAAACATAGAAAAAGTATGATAAAAATATGGTATAAATGATGAAAAAGTGATACTCCTATAGAGGATGCTCACCATAAATAGAGTTTGCAGGACTAGAAGTTGCTCTTAGTGAATCAGTGAGTGAGTGGAGAGTGAATGTGAAGGCCTAGGACATTACTTACACTACTGCAGACTTTATTAACAATGAATACTCAGGATACACTAAATTAAAAAAAATCTGTCTTCAATAATAAATTAAAACCTTGGATAACTGAAACTTTTTAAGTTGGTAGTACAGTACATTTGTTTACCCCAATATCACCATAAATATGTGAGTAATGCATTCTTCTGTGATATTATGAGGGTTATGATGTTACCAAGCAATATCAATTTTTCAGCTCCATTTTATTTTATTTTATTTTATTTTTATTATTAATATTATTTTGCTGTTTTAAAATTTCAGTGTTAGTTTTTTCATACCCTTCCCCTCCCACCCAACCCTGTTTATAAGGAACTAAAGCATTACACCTGGTGAACAGCAAATCTTACAGGACCACCATCAGTGTCAATATGTAGTCTGATGCTGACTTAAAAGGTGCTATGGGGCTAGCAAGTGGTATGGTGGTTAAGGTGCTCGATTCCACATGGCCAACCCTTAGTCCAAGTCCTGGACCCAGCAGTTTGAGAAACATGCTGGGCATGTGTGCATGTGTGCCCAAAATCCTGAGAGCAAAGTGGAGGAGAAGGGATTGCATTGTGGCCTTTTCTTCTTGGGGTTGATTTCTCACTTTACCTCTCTCTGTCTTTTGTGAGTGCACATGCCACATGTGCAAAAAAAAAAGTTATATAGCACATGATTATATAAAGGTGAATATTATATATATATATGTTAGTGTGTATACGTATATATATGTATATATATGTATGTATGCATTTAAATATTTTGGAACTTGAATCACCTGAATGTCTAATCTTGTCAATAATACTTTACTGAAATATAGACATAAAATTAATTATTAACATAAAATATGGAAGAAAAAGAATTTAAAACATGTTAAATTCTTTTTTAGAAAAGAATTATTTACTATTTATTTATTTAATTCAATTTCTTATTGCTATTTTTTTTTTAATTTGGCCAGAGATAGACAGATAAGGAAAGGAAAAGTGAGAAAGCAAACCACCAGGTTTGGGACTCATGCTACAGTCGGCCTTACCCATCCTGCCACTTGCTGGCCCCAAAACATGCTAAATTCTTTTATAATTTGAATTTGAAAGACATTTTGAATAACTTTGGACTTTGGAAAGCATATATGTTAAATTTTTTCTCATAAAAATTATAATTTTTTAAACTTTTTCTCTCCCATAGGACACATGTGCTCTCCAGAAAGAGACGGAATGAGAGACAGTGAGGGAGAAAGTGAGAAATCACTCCACAGGGAGATGGCCATGCCACAGTCCCTTCTCCTTCAGTCTCCTCCTGGGATTTTGGGCACGCATGCACACATAGGATGTCAGAGTGAATTTCAAGCTGTCAGGTCCTGGACTTGAACCATGGTTCGCCATGTGGGAGTCTAATGCCTTAATCACTACACTACCTGCTGGTCCCGGAATTATAATTTATAACTCTAACCAAATGGAAAATAATGTAAAAGCAACATTAAATCTGATGCAAGACAGCAAAAAGGAAAGCGTATAAAACAAAATATGTAAACTCAGTATGTTGACCACTAGTATTTATTTAGATATTAATAATAATACAATTGTAAACTCATAGTGACAAATACAATGTGTGAGAAAAACAATAGGAGGCGAGAAATTTTCAAAAATGAAACAAAGTATAAAGATTTGTGCATTTGATTTTTCAGAGCAGAGATGTGCAGCCTGTTTGAATATATAGGTTTAAGCAAGATCTTTGTCTGAGCACCACTTTTTCATGTGAAGAATAATAGTTACATGACTCCTATCTCATAGGGTATTTGTGGGGAGTGATTAAAATAATAAAGAACTTAATATACATTTGCATCTCAAAAATCTTAATTTCTTTCCCTGAAAATGTGTGTAAATTCTTTACATTGTTTCAAATGTCTGCAAAGGAAAACCCAATCAGATAGAAAATATTCAAAAGAATACTTGCTCTTTAAAATAATAAAGAACTTAATATACAGTTGCATCTCAAAAATCTTAATTTCTTTCCCTGAAAATGTGTGAAAATTCTTTACACTTGCTCTTTGAAAGTTTCGATATCTTGGAAGACAGAGTTCAGAATTTCGTATAATGAACAAGGTTTATAACTCGGAACTCCCTATGCAGAGCCTTAATGAAGTTAGATGAACGCCACATCAGAGCCTGTACTAAGCTAGCTGGTGTTTTCCCCTAATAGCGAGTTCAGGGACCAATAATTAAAGAGAATAAAATATGCTTCTCTCCCTGGCATGGAGGGCAATAACTCTCCCTGGATATCTTCCAGCTCCCAATTGTCTTTTCGTTATGAGGAGCGCTGTGTTTTCATAGTTTTTCTTACCTTCCTTTTTCTGACATGCAAGGTAATGGAAAAATCACATTCCAGACAACATGTTTTTAAATAACATCAGTTTTGTGCATTGTTCTGTTACACATAATCTACCTCTACTTGAATCCCCATTCCAGTTCACTGCCAGACTATAAAGACTCTCCTGTTAGACACTGAGATTTTAGATAATATCAACTGCATACCATGCAAGCGAGGACCACTGATGATTATAGAAAGCAAAGCAAAACAAAACAAAAGATAAAAACAAAAAAAATCTCTCTTCCTGCTTTGTCCTTTGGCTAAACTCTGGGTCTCTTCTCTGACAGCATTCTGATAATGCTACGCCTGATCTCCTTGGTCTTAATGCTATAGACAATGGGGTTGACGACAGGTGGGAGAAAGAGGTAAGCATTGGCCATCATGGCTTGCAGCAGTGGGGACACATGGTGTCCAAAGCGGTGCACCATCGACAAGCCAATCATGGGGACATAATAAGCGAGTACAGCACAGACATGGGAGCCACAAGTGTTGAGTGCCTTCTTCCGCCCTTCTCCACTGGCAATTCCCAGTACAGTGTGAAGTATGAGCCCATAGGAGACCACAATGAGCAACGAATCCAGCCCAAATGTAGAGGTAACAATGAACAGCCCATAGATATTGTTGATAGAAGTGTCCCCACATGGTAGATGAATAAGGTTGGGGTGGAGACAATAGGAATGAGAGAGGACATTATGGCCACAGAACGGCAGGCGCCACAGAAGCACGGGCAAGGGGGCCATGAGTATAATGCTTTTCAGCCCAATGATAACTCCTGTGCCAAAGATGCGGGGCAGAGTCAGGATGGCCATGTAGCGCAGTGGGCTGTAGATGGCCACAAAGCGGTCTACAGACATGGCTAGCAACACAGCTGACTCAATAATGGAGAAAGAATGGATGGAGAACATCTGGAGAAGACATGCTTCAAAATGAATCTCAGTGGTGCCAAAAAGGAATATACCTAGCACGGTAGGCAGGGTGGATACAGAGACTCCAACCTCAGCCAGTGCCAACATGGCAAGGAAAAGATACATGGGCTGATGCAGGGCTGCATCTGTTCTGATAACATGGAGAATGGTGCCATTGCCAAGGAAGATGACGAAGTACATTAGACAGAAGGGGACAGCTATCCAGATGTGTCTTGCCTCCAGTCCTGGGATGCCAACCAAAATGAATGTTGTAGGTAAAAACCCCAAAGAGCTATTGAAATTCTTCATGTTGAACTCTCACCTCATGGGCTTAGTACCACCTTGAAAATTAAAAACAAACTAGATAATATTATATTGGGGAAAGATCGCTAGGAACTTAGCAAGTAAAGAAGGCAACAAGTTCATACATTTCTGTGACCAAAAGTCACATTTTGAAAACTGACAGATGGGGCCAGCTTGTGGTGTGATGGTTATGGTAACTGGCTCCAACAGGATGACTGTGGTTGGAGTCATAGACCCAGCAGCTTGAGAAACATGCCAGGCACATGTGTGTTCATGTCCAAAATTCTGAAAGGAGGGAGAAAAGGAGGAGAAGGGATTACGACATGACCATCCCTATTGGAGGGCGCCTTCTTGCTTTCCCTCTTTATCTGTCTCTTTGTCTCTCTCTAGCAAGTACACAAGCCCTCTGGTAAATTTTACAACAAAAAAAATTTAAAAGGAAGACTAACAGGTGACCATCTTCAGAAAATTTCCAGGATAAAGTGCATTACAGTCTACATCAAAGAGCAGTTTTGGACTTTAGGAAATTGTATCTATAAAATGGAGGAAACCTTCAGAAATACATTGGCTAGGGAGAAATGGTTGCTTCGTGTTGGTGTGGAATGGTCTAGTTCTAGAAAGCTGCAGGATGAGAGATGTATGTAAACAATCTCAGCATAATACTGGACTCATATTGGCCAAAAATTGAACAGATATTATCAATAAATATGTAGATACAAGGGACAGACAGAGAATGATATATAAAATCAGCTAAAAATACCTGGTGGGTGAAAGTAGCTATATGAATAATTGAGGTCCAAATCAAGATTAAAATGGTGGCAGTGACCACAACCTGGAGAGACTGGCAGGGGAAGTAAATAGAAAAGTATGGAGCTTGGACTGACTCTGGATTTAGCTGTTTTGAGCTTTAAGAGGACAGGAAACAACCAGAAAGAGTATGTGCAAAGGATTGGATGGTTCAGAAAGAGGCAGGAGCCAAGGTTGGTGGATTTGTATGCAAATTTGAGGATTCATAGAAATATTATCATGAACGTATCTACAATCCCTTAACTCATAGTTTTCAAAAACAACTTACCTTATTCCCTGGGACTTCTTTTGTGGCTTAGACCCACCAGCAAATACAACACAGCAATAACACTGGGAACCTAAATGGATTTTCAAGGAATGTTCTGGGCTAGAGAGGAAGGCAGTGGGGAGGGAGCCTGGGGGAGGAGAAAAACTACCTGTGTAGACTGGATGTGTTTTTAGCTAACTATTGTTTCAACCAGCACAGGTACAATAATAGAATCCTGTACTAGCGTGGTAGGAAAGACCTTTGGAGGTAGTTTTCAACTGACTTACACACACACACATACACACACACATACACACACACTGGAAAACAATTTGTTTGCATCTTTCCTGCTATGAACCCTCCATTCATTCACTGTTGAACTCCCCTAGCCATAGGCACCTTACTATTCAGTGCTATTTATTATTAAATTTTTCATTGCCCCACAGATCCATAACTAAACAGCCTCCTCTATGTAAACAAACGTAGGACCCAAGTAACAGAAATCTGGCACTACTCAGAAAATTTCAAAAATTTCTAACTCAGAGAAAACATCTTCAACAAATATTCAAATTGAGGCATCCCATGTTCCAAAGTCTCCTCTCCAAGTTAGTTAAAAGTACTTTAATGTTACTGAAGAAAAATTCAAGATGCCATGATAGGGACCCAGAAGGAAAACCCAATTTATTTTTAAAAGTCAGAAAATGCTTTCCTTAGATCACATTTCAGCTGAGATCCAGGGAACCAGTACAAATTTTCCAAGGAAAATAGGTAAGTTGAGTGTAGTGTGGTGTAGAAAAAAAAAAAAATTACCATGGCATTTAGCGTATAAGATAGCACTTGGACAAAGGCTGAAATAATACATGGAGAAAATAAAAGGTGTTGCTATATCAGGATATTAAAGTAATTAATTTTTACCATAATATTTACTTTCATGAAAATATAAAGGAATAAAATGAAAACAAAAAAGTTCCAGGTGATCTTATGGACTAGCATTCCACATGGTGGACCACAGTTTGAATCTCAGCCCAGTGGCTTAAAAAACATGAGGTGCATGTATGTGTGCATGCTCAAAATCATAACTGAGTGAAGAGATGGAGGAGAAGGGCTTACCATGTGACCACACTCCACTGACTCTAGTGAGCAAAAATACAAAAGAGATGTTTACTGACTGCCTAAATACAGGAATACTATGTGTTTATCCTGTTCTTAGCAGACATTAATTAGGAAAAGCTCAATGCTGTGGGTTAGACTAAAGCTTAGGGTAGAGAAATGTAGGGGCAATCATTAACCTCAAGAAATGCTCACACACCTTAGCACCCCATGGACGAGAGACTTGGAGGAATGTTTCTCCTACTCATTTGTTATACCCTTTTAAGGGCTCTTGTTCACATCCCAAAGTTGAAAAATATTTAAATAGCTCTTTAAATGAACCAATATTGGTCTACATATGGATTAAGTATCTGTTTTTTCTGAGTGTATATCGAACCATACATTTCTTGCCACACCCAAATGACCTATGTTGGAAAAGAAGAATCTTGGTAGATACTTGCAACTATTTTCTCTCCTCTCCTCTTCTTCTCTGCCTCCCAATGCTCTTTTTTGTCCTCTTTATTCCTTTTATTCTTTTGCACCTTTCTCTCCCTGAGCTCCAGTTTCCCTAGCATGGTAGAGGTCGGGTATTCTTGGAAGAAATCTTAAAACACAACTATTCTCCTGACGTTGGAGTTTGTTTGACAAGAGCACTTCCGGTTGGGAGGTGACAAAGGAGTCATTTCACCTATAGCCTGTATTATAGGACTTAACAACTCAGCTAAAAGAAGAAGAGAATATGGTACCTTGAATACTATATCCCCAGCCCTGGACAGAATTGGAGATAATCTATGTGCAGTATAACTTTCCTATTTTATGTGCATTTGTTTCTTTATTTTTAAAGATAAAGATGCTGATACCTGCCTGAGAGTGGTCCTGACTTTTTAATAACAGCTTTTAGCAATGAGTGACTACGAGTATCCTCCCTTTGTCTTCTCTCGGGCATTCTCAGAATCAATTCATAGGGCTCCATGATAGTCAGCTTATCCCTAACTTTCTATGACTAATGTTCTTTGCTTATCATTGCCTCACTAAAGCTCAGGCAGTCTCTGTGAGGGAAGCAGGAGATGAGGACTTCCCAGTTAACAGATGATGATGTAAACAAGACAAACACATTGCATGAGTAACCCAAGCTAACAGGAGAGAAAACAGTGTCTGGAATCTACAATGTCCTCTCATGTTTTTGTTTTGCTCTTTATCTGCTCAGAAAACACATTCTCTCATTCTACTACACAGGTTCAGATACTAGGGATGACTATGGGTAGGGAAAATCTAGAGGAATTCCAACTGTGGAAAAGAGTTGGAATTCTTTCTGGAAGTTGCTAAAGAAGGGAAGTCTGGGAGGTCATGAGCTTGAGAACTCACCACAAGTGTATCTGACCTCTGAGCATCAAGTGGGACTAGAGAAGTTCATGTCAGCAAGCCTCTGACACCTTGGCATTAATATCTTCCTAGTCCTGGGGCCAGACTCTTTTGCCTCCCTCTTTTTAAGATGATCAGATGCTTTGGGAGTAAAATAATGGGAGAGGAATTAGGGTCCCTCAGGAGAAATTATGTAGTTCATTACATCACCCTTTCTCATAATCCAGTAAGCTCTAAGGGTTGAGTTCCTGAGACAGTGGCTAGAAAATCATGCTAGACATATGTGCATGCATGCCTAAGATCCCAGGAGGATAATGGAGAAGTGATTACGACGAGGTCATCCTCCAGGGAGGTGATTTCTCACCTTCCTTCTCACTGTCTCTGCCTTTCTCTGGTGAGTACATGTGACCTAAGGAGAGAAAAAAAACAAAAATCTCTAAAAACAAGTTATCTGTGATTCAATTCATATATTAAAACAATAAAGTTCTCTATATCTAACTTAAATACACTTAGTATGACAGTTTATCTTCTAAGAGAGAAAAATTTTAACATATAGAAACTTTCTCTTTTAAACGTTTTCCAAAATAGTTGGAAACTATTTTTCCATAAATCTCAGTTTCCATGGTGATTGATAATAAACATTTGAGAAACATTAAATACAGATATATGAAGGGTTTAGTACAATCCCAGTAATATTAAACTAAATTATGTATTACAACTTATCAAGTTTTGGTTAGAATTATGAAGTGACCTGAACCTTTATTTAATCTGCAGATGGATTTTTTAAAAACTCACTTTGACTAGAAAACTCACTTTGACATAGTAAAAAATAATGCACATTTTTGCTCCTATAGGGCACATGAATTTGTGGGAGACAGACAGAGTGTGTAGGGGGGTGGGGTGTGAAAAAGACAGTTCACCCAGGGGGGATGGCCACAACATCATCTCTTCTCTGTTCTCCTCTCAGGATTTTGGGCAGGTGTCACTTTCTAACCTCCAGGTCCAGAACTCAAACAACATAGTTGGCCATGTGAGATCCAGCCACATTAAACTTCATAACCTCCATGCCACCTGTTGGCCCCATCCATATCTTTTTCTTTTGTCAACTACTAATCAACATTAATGTTTTGGACTTATCTAATTTGCGGGACAGGGTAGGATATTTAAAGAAGAAAGGGATTGGCCACTGAGTATTAAATACACACATACGTAAATTCACGGAATTCTACTGATATGTATTATTACATATATTGACATGTGTCATAAAGCCTCCTTAATCTAGGCTACATAACTCTTCCAGAGACATTTGATTTGTTTCTGAGGAATTTAGTGTTGACAATGCTGCTCTCTCCACCTTGGTAGATCTCACCTCAATTTTATAGTCCTTTTTGGCTTTAAGATCTTCAAAAAACCCATACTCACACTTTTCCATCCAAATTAGCTGATAGTTCAGCAATGGTGACACAAAAACCTGCAATTTTTAGAGTCCACATGCTGCCAT